GTTGGCAATGACGGCGACCCGCGCTACCGCCGTCGACTAAGTTAGGTAAGCCCGGACGGTGGCTCGTGACGGTGGTAGTTTGGGGGCAAAATCTCAGGGAAGTGGTGCGCGAGGGCAATTCTACGGACGTGATATTTGTATTCGCGCTTGGTAGCAGCGAAAGTGTCGTCGACATATTGACCGTTTCGGATTTGTCGAGAGATATCAATAATAGCTTGTATTTACGCGAGCAGAGCTCTGCTAAAAAGTAAAAAAATGGAAATTAAATAAATGTAATATTTATTAAAACAAATAAATATATTATATTCTATTAATATTATTATATAAGTATTTAAATATATAATTATAGCGATAAAGAATTTACTTACAATTAGTATTACATCATGCATTAAAGATACAGTATAAAAAAATGTGACATTTATGTGGAAGAATATAATATATATATTTATATGTTGTTATTAATTTCTCAAAAATTATAGATGCGGATATGTATATTTCGTATTATTCTAAATATCATATTGAAAAGAGATTATATAAAAACCGATTGCTCTCATGTAAACTCAAATTATTACACATCGGAATCGCGCCATCGTCGAGTTCGTTACACGGGATGCGCAAAATCCTTTTTGTGCCCCGTTGTCCCGTTGCGTTTGACTCGTTTCGAGAGATTCCACAATAGGATGAGTGGCGAGCACGGTATGCGGGATCGAGATATCGTGTGTGTCTACGGTGGTACCTGCCGCCATACAAGCGGCTCTACGACAAAGCACCGACACGCAGCGTAGCGGAATCGTCGAATCTCACTCGATCAGAAGCCGAATGGAAATTAAATGCGCAGTCGACCGTTATGCTGATTGATTTGTATTCTGCGAACTGCTGGCATCGCGTGGAAGTGTGCTAAATTGTGGGATTTATGTCCTCTCCTAATTGCATCGCCTGTTCCCTCTCGTCTGGCTATATCTCGTTTACGCTACTGCTTCGCCACCCTTCGTCCGCTGAGCTAACATTCTTAATAGATTACTTTGATATTTATGTCAAAAATGACTTGTTTTTATGATGTTACAGAATATCTCGTCAAGATATTGTACATTTAATAAAAATGTTTACTTAAGTAGTAAATTAAAGTAATGAAAATATGTTTAATAATAGAAGTATACGTCTCTGCAAAAATATGTCGAATTAAACTACAATGTCTCCGTAATGAGAATCTTTAATTAAAACTTGTGCATATAAGAAAATCCAAACAGATTTCTATAATTTTGTCTTTTTAAATAATAACTAATAATATATTAATAATAACTAATCATATATTATGTTATGAATTTTTATGTGTTATAAACCGAAAGACGATTAATAATTATAATAATTAATATGATGCTGACATTTTCTATCTATTTTACTATGTCATATGTTTAAGATTTATAAAACATGATAATTTTTCTCTTTTTCTTAATAAATAGCGAATAGATATACTATCGACATCTCTTGAGACTATCGAGAAGTATATTACTTTATTGATTTATATGTGAAAAATATTTTTCAACTTTTTATAAATCTGCATATAAATAGTACTTTTTTTATTTAATTTGAGATTGATGTATAAATTTGTATTTAAATATACAATATTAAATGTGTCTATTAATAATATTTCTGTACATATTGGTTTACTTTTATCCATTTATATATTATTGATATTTATTTATATATAGTAATAAATGTACATGTTTTATATAAATCTTGTGATATATTATCTCGGTAAAAATTATCAATTTTTCTTATTTATTAGCAATTGGTAATTTCAGCTTACCAACAGTAAATCAGTTATCCACAAACAATATTCGCATGCATTTCACGAAAGTTTTGTCTGTATTAAAAAAAGATCAATTTATATCATTGACTACATATCGAATGCTGAAGAGTCAAAAATCTACGTCAAAAATGTTATTTTTTATTTTACTATTTGTTAATAAAAAGAATCTATTGGGGTAAGGTATCAATATGTTTACAACAATCCTTTTTAGCTCAACTATATTTATAGTTTGATTGTAACATTGTATGGTAACTTTAAGTCAAAATCAATATTATAACTCTACGGATACAAAGAATATTTGTACCAACGTTCGATGATTAACCACATTGCTCACATAAAATATTGCTTCATTATTTAAAAATGTTTAGCTAGTTGAAAATGTTCCGTCTTATTTCGATTACTAAGAAATCCATATTAAAAGTTGCATTAAAGTTTTTCCAATGATAGTAAACATAATAAGATTTCCACATGCAATATTTCACACATAATATTTTAAAGATTAATTGTTTTCCAATAGATGAAGATATCAAATATATAATTCTTTCAACTGTATCTATCCCATTATTTATAATTATTTCCTATACTTTTTTCTCTATAAGGAATATGCACGCATAGAATTCACATAACGAAATAATAATTCAGACTATAAAATTATTAAATACTTAATCGTAATCAAACATTAATTCGACTAAACTTGCTATTTAGTACATATCTCATATATAATGTAACATATTATTTATATAAAAAGCGTACTGAGTAGATTGCGGGGGTTAGTGAACTTTGCATACCAATGAGACTATTCAAACTCCTCCTTTTACCCTAATCAGAATGCAACCCTTGACGCGATGCAACCCCTCCTCCACCCTTCCCCCTATCACGGCTATCCCTGGAACCATCGGCTTTACTTTGCTACCAGACTTGTGGCTAAAGGCGCACATCGGCCGACCAGAATAGAGGTGGTGATGCAACAGGGGTTGGCGAAACGAGGATCTTAGTACACCCAAGACGGCGGCTGATACGAGGTGTTACATTCCATCCGAGATTTTCAAATTACCGGATTATGCTGAGAAAACTGGTTGGCGCAGCAACTATCTAAGACGCTTAACGTCGTCGACACCATGGTTTTAAGTGACGATCATCCTAATGCCCCTTGTGTCGCGTCAAGTGGACGACGGAAATGAAGTTCGAGATTTACTGGCTTCTTGCGCCGACAGCGCCTGACGAACGATGCTACGGCGTTAATGATCAGTTACCGCTCGTTGCATATCCGTTTTTGTTGATATATAGATTAGGGTAAAGCTGACTATAATGTATGTGTCATGAATATAATTCACACTAAAATTTTAGCACAATTTATTGTTTCAGATATTGATATTTAACATATATCAATGTTTAAAATGCTAATAAAATTTCTTATTAATGAATTAATAAAAAATGTATCTAATTATTTTCTTAAAAAAGGCATCTACTATTTTCTTACGCAAGATAACACAAAATCTATTTAAATTTTTAATAGTAATAATTTTTTCTAACTGCAATACATTGAATAGTTTAACTATTTATAATCGACATTATTTTAGTGTAAGTTTATATAATACATTTTAAATTTTATAGAAAAATTACGTATTGTACATATATGTGTGTATGTGTGCAATAATTTAATTTATTGACTAATGCAGCAAGATAGATATAACAAATCTAAAAATATATTGTTTTAAATTGTAATTGCGATATTTTTTTATTTCATGTTGGTTTCTTATTTATATTAAAAACTTAATTTTTCTTTCCACTGGTAACTTCTGCGTAATAGTCAATAAAGTGGAACGTTTGTACAACAATCGTGAAATGTCAAAATGTCATGAAAAAAGCGATTATCTCTTACGTATTTCCAATCTGTTTTAAAGTGTGCGCACTCATGCGTGTACAGAGCGTGCTGTTTCACAGCAAAACATAGAAAGAAAATACAGTTAAAACAATTTTCCTGCGTTGTTATAATTTTAAAAGCGTTTATCTCGCAGCATTATGATGAATACTTGATCGTGGCATCGACTCACCTCATGCAGCGCTTTTATTATGTTTGATACGAAACCGTTCAACACGATCGAGTAATAATTATTACTAGAGGTCTCACTTATATCAAGTCATTAATATATAATTTCGCCTGGTGATAACGATTCCGAACTAATTGCATCTCTCTCATATTACATTTCATATCGTTATGTTAAATATTAATACGGATCAAAACACAGAAATGCATGCACAAAGTTAAAACCAATGAAACGCAAATGCATTTTCCCGTCATATTCTCGATATTACATATAGTTGAATTTAATCCTGTACATATTCTATATCAAAGTTAATTCAACATGATGTTTTATGACAGCTTAGCACGTCTTTTGCCAAGGATGTTATATTCGATGAAATAAATTTGGAATCCAACGTTGATTTTATGTATGTTATATATATATAAAATACAAAGAATATTTCATCACTCTTTTGTCACTCTTTCTTTTCTTACGAATTCTAAAATTCTAAATAGTTCTAAATAAATTTTTACAGAGTGGCATAAGTACAGTTATAATGTTCTGCGAGAACAATGTATTAGAGCCTCGTTACGTCAAACAATTCTATCTGCTATCGTCAGTAAGTTGATAGGTACTACGGTTTTTGCATTCGCGATCGTTGAAAGCGCGAGATCACTCGTGCGGTACATACGACATAGATAATATCTCTCCGTTCGATCAATAGTTTGGCTTAACGCGATACGCGAAGCGCAATCGATCCATTGCCATCATTTCCCGGCGTTACTTTCTTGATGATGAAAATATGCCTTTACATAAGTCGACGGTTGAATGACACAATCGTGACGGATTCTTTTCAGTTTCTTAAACAGTAGAACAATGATCAATAGACAATCAATTTAAAATCTTAAACAGCAATTCTTTTTTTTCGGCGACGTCCACTGTGAAAGATGTTATGAAACTAGCGCGAGGCGCAAATCAAATTGCTAGTTTAAGCGATTAGCCACAATAACGACTTGCAAGATCGATACAAATATACGCAATGTCTATTGTTTCCCTCTAAAGAATTATCTAGATTGAGAAAGTGGGAGCGATATAAAAGATTCAGCGAGATAGATTGAACAGACAAGGAATCGTCGAGACCGACGAGATTAAAGTAATCCTGCAAGATGTATTGGAAACTGTTTGTGTCATTACTTCCGCACCTGCTTATTTGTAACACCTTGGCTAGACCTATCATTTACGAGGCTGTCGAGGACGATGTCGCCGCTGTTGGCTCATTTATTCGCGAGATACGTCAACCGGCGCCGTTAAAAGTCGCTGCGGAAGTAGAGGATTTAATGAGCGTTGGTAACGCACCGAAATCACGAGACACTAAAAAAAGCGTAAAAAACGCATCTGGTATGTCCTTAGTTAGTACTTTTTACTAGAATATACGATAATGTTATACTTAAAATAATGCAATATTTAAGAAGAAAGTTATGGGAAAGTATTAAAAAAATAATTTATCGAATATTGGTGTATGACAATTATGGGAAAGTCGAGGAGAACAAAAATATTGTATCTAAAAAATAAATTTATTAATCATATTATTTTTTATGTACATTGCATTGTATTGTTCTCTTGTATTTATTTCTTTATTTATTTATTGTATCCTTCTCTTTCCCTGAAATAAACGGATTAATGTTTATTGTCGAATGTGTTAAATTTCATGAACACGTTAAATGTTTTGTTGAGCATAACAAGGACGGACAACAATGCGGTTTTAGGCAAATCAGACGAGGGTGGTTACTACAGAACCTACGGAAGCGATGCGGACGGCGAGAAGGGTTACTTGAAGGAAATCTACGGTAAAGGTGATCAAGGCTACAAGACTCTTGACACCTTCCACAAACAAGACGGCGACAAATACGAATTTGAGACGCAAACCAGTTACGGCAAAGATTCTGCTGACAAGAAAAGCGAGAAACATCAAAAAGAGAAAAAAAATCGTGACCACGAGGGCGCAGGTAAAAATATGTTAAATTGTAATTATAATCAGCAACATATATTAATACGATAATATAAAACAGAGTAAAGAAGACTTAATAGATTAAAAATTCTGGCGCTACAACCTGAAATAAACGGATTAATGTTTATTGTCGAATGTGTTAAATTTCATGAACACGTTAAATGTTTTGTTGAGCATAACAAGGACGGACAACAATGCGGTTTTAGGCAAATCAGACGAGGGTGGTTACTACAGAACCTACGGAAGCGATGCGGACGGCGAGAAGGGTTACTTGAAGGAAATCTACGGTAAAGGTGATCAAGGCTACAAGACTCTTGACACCTTCCACAAACAAGACGGCGACAAATACGAATTTGAGACGCAAACCAGTTACGGCAAAGATTCTGCTGACAAGAAAAGCGAGAAACATCAAAAAGAGAAAAAAAATCGTGACCACGAGGGCGCAGGTAAAAATATGTTAAATTGTAATTATAATCAGCAACATATATTAATACGATAATATAAAACAGAGTAAAGAAGACTTAATAGATTAAAAATTCTGGCGCTACAATTCGCTTTATTTATCTTATACAGAATTGTAGAAACTCGACTGTCCATAAGCTTCATAATCAAAACGCTTTTTTGAATTCGAATTTGAAGTGGCTGCTGTGGATAACGCGAAATTGTTCTTCATAAATTGTGTTTAATACGATATGAAAACTTTTATAGGTACTATGGTCGATACAGACTATATCGGCGGCGAGGGAGATCACGGTGAAGGAAGCGAATACTCGCATTATACTGGAAGCGACGGTGAAGATCACTATAGTGGCCACTACACGGATAAAGAGCCGGAATCTTCACATTATGGTCATAGCGAAAATTATTCCTCTGGAGATGGTGACGAGGGATCTTATGAGACACATAGCTCTTATAGCTCCGACGGAGAAGACGGAGAAGATCATTAGTAATTATTAGAGAGATGTATACTAATTTTATTTAAAAAATTTTATTTTTTGATATTTTATTCAAATTCTAAAATTTTGTTTTGTAATTTTAACCCTGCCCTATTTTATATTTAAAATATGCACATATAGTTATTGACAACATAGCACGCGTACATTTATCTGTATGCACAAATAATTCATTTTCAAAAATGAGGACAATGCATGCATGTTTTCTATTATATTACATGCGACTATAGTGCGGATGACATATACGTGTTTGTATTATAGATAGTAATATAAAGAGATAGTAATGATGTTAATTATGGTGTTTATGATATAGTAAAAGTTAATGTTTGATAATTAATAAATTTATCACACATCACCGATGCATATGTTAATTTTATTTGGTTGTTACCTTTGAATTTTCCATGCTATGTACACGATTATTAAGCTTCAAGTGGTGTTTATTTGATGCTATTATTTCTACACGATTGATTTTTCAACCGCAATTATTTCTATGCGATTAATCTTTTAATTACAAAAAATTTTTAATTAAAAAAAAGCAAAGACAGCAACTATTTTGCAAAACATTACTTCAAAACAACGTAAATAAAGTAGAGTATGCGCTGCCAGGCAAATATATTGGACGTTAGATTAATATTATAATAGTATTTCCATTATGAAATTTGCCGTTACGCTTTCGCGTTGGAATCGATCGCGAAAGTACGAGCGTACGCTCAAAATTACCGCCCGGCGAAACTCGTTACATTAGCAATGTCCGTGCATGATCGATTATCAACAGCTAATCCATTCTGGGTGTTTCGCGTTGTATGCAAATAGTTTGATCTCACAGTATGAATGAATGCATATCCGTTCGCTGAACCGTTAATCCTTTAAATACTTCATTTCTTCATCGAAAGCGCATCTCTTGTCTAATCTTATCAATTTAGAAAATCATAAAAACAAGTACGTTTATTTTGAGCAGAATCACTGATTCAATTAGACGGTAAAGAAGTGTAATTCTTTTAATGGAAATATGACAAAAAGAGAGAGTTTCTTTTTTGTGATAGAGACAAAATAAATTTATGATTTAATATCATAGTGTAGCCGATACTCACACACAGACACACACACACACGCCACTTATTCTTAATATAATGTGATTTTATATTTGGCCGTATTTATATTATGGCCGTACGAGGTATTTATTTAGTCAAGATACAATATTTTTATTCGATTTTCGATTAAATTAAATCGCACTGACGCGATGCGACATTTATTACTCGCCCTAGCTATATCCCGATTAATGAAATTGCCATTTAATTCCTTCGCGTGAGTGCGAATGTAATTGGGTTACCTTTGTTGTAAAGCTTAATTCTAATTTCAGATTTAACATCATCCGGGAATCAAGAATTTACTGTCTGTATCATTGAATCAGAATACGCTTTGTATTTTATATGAGTTTGCAACTTGTTCATGTCAGTTTTGTGTTTTGTTGGGAAAGCAAATAAGTTTTCAAATCTGTTCCGCTACAATTATAGATTCAGTTTAATTGTGCGCTTAATGGTCATGGTTTGGAACCGTGCTAGATTGCAGATACTGCCACTCGGTTGGCATACAATAGATACGGCTAATTGTCGACACAGTATAGTTTCAACTGACAGAAGACGATAAAAACGTGAGTGTTTGTTAAAAAGTACTTTCCGTCACGCAAGAATCGTGTCTCGTTGTATATATTTTAGTTCTAATCGTTAGCTCTAATACAAGTGTGTAACATTTATGAGCCTGCATTTTGCAATTATTTATAACGAGAGAGCTATCCAGGTGGTTGCCCATCCTCAGGCGGGAAATCGTTCTGTTAATTGTACGAAATAATTATCATTAACACTATTGTAACAAAGAATTATTGTGTTTTGTCATCGATTTACTGTATCAATTTCAGGAACTCATTCAATCTATTCTAATAAACACGATTAATAAATTTGAAAAATATGTTTAAATTTACTAGTAATCTATTACACATTCTTTATATTATTCTTTTTTTTGCTGTATATTTAATTTAAAAAATTGAGAAAAAATTATATATATTATTTTGCTTCACACTGGATTAAGATAAGAAAAAAAAAACAATTTATCAAGCAAAAATCCAGATTTACCTGATTCAATCTATATTTAAAGTGATATATATAGACAATAAAATTTAATATCTCAATCCACTGACACATTGATATATGTAATACTCTTTTTTCTCCTTTTTTGCTTCCTTTCTCTTTCTTTATCTCTCTCTCTCTCTCTCTCTCTCTCTCTCTCTCTCTCGTCTCTTTTCTTTACTCTATTAGTCTAGTCTATTTAAAAATTTTGTAGCAATATTTTTTCATTTTTGCTGCTCCCACACATTTTCACATGCAATTAGCGAATATTGCGATAACAGATCAGTTGAATATACCAACTATTTGCTTGCATAAATGAGTTTAAGAGGCAAACAAAGCGAAAGTGGAGCTCGAATTACAGACTATTACTGTCAGCTCTCTCGCGGCTATCGCCAGAAAAGCTTGTAGCTTGGATGGCTCCTCCGGGTTTAAATTAGAAAACAATTTCATTAGCAACCCAGAAACCAGCGCGAGGTCCTTTTGTTCGTCAGCGTATAGCCTGACGGTTTTATTCAGCATGCAAGAATACGCTATAGAAGAGGTAGAATACGCTACGAGGAAAACGGTATGAAAAGGACGAAAGAAAGAAAAGAAATAGGAAAGATGGTGCGAGGGTAAGACTTCAATGTGAGATAGTTTGTTCGATTAAGAGAGTCGAGATTAACGATTCCATCAACTGATTGTACATTTCATAAGTTAGCGACGCGGAATTGACAATAGTTGCTCTCCTTATGCCCCAGTCCCGCTTTCCATTAGTAATTATTAATAAAATCAGTAAAAAACTCTAATATTTTAATAGTGTAATAATGTCTCATAAATATTTTTTAATGTTTCTGAGTTTTTCTTATATCTTTGTCAAATTTGTCAATTTGTTATTTAATTATTGACATAAACAATAGAATATTTTTATTTTGTAATATTAGTATTATTATTTTGTAATATTAATATTATGTTGTAATACTAATAATATTACGATGAATATCTATATTAATAGTATCTTAATAAAAGACAAGTTTAATGTGGTATTTGAGTTTCTAATTATGAAAGTTATTCCTTCTTAGATTTTGTCATTACATTACTATCCTCGGTACCGGAGCAAAACGACATTAAAATGCTTGAAGAGTCAACGAACCATGCTCCGATTTACGACACTCTACCGAGCTTTACTTGTACATAAAGATTTCAATAGCATTTTAGATTCTAATTGAAGTCGCGCCTTTGCGCTCATTGACCAAACGAAGAGGCGGGCGATCTGGCGGATGGTCCGACGTTGCCTCGAATTTGCTTACAAAGCAATCTTTCCATCTGAGCTGAGGTCTACGGTGAATGCCACCTAATCTAATCTACGTTACGACGATACCGAGTCGAAATCGAACTTGGCAGAACCCTTGGTTTCTCCTCTGTCTAAAGGATCCTTGCCGAAACTGGGCAGTAACCAATCTTTATCTTGATTATGCAGCGCCAATAAGAGCCAATCTTCAATCTAGGATGGTTGCCAAATAAGATCGTAAAGTGTCAGATCGATCAATACTTCACACTGCAAATTAACTGACACATTGAATTGCAGTGAAAATCATGTTGCGGTTTTCTAGTTTCAACATTCGTTATTTTATCCGTCTCCGACATCATCATTAGTTATTACTATCATTTATTTAGTCTTGTCAAATTCCATCACGGGTTAAGAAACTATTTCGTCAGCACAGAATATTATTTGTAAATTTTATGGATCTTAATAATTACTGAAATTATAAATTTCTTGCTTTCGACATTCTAATTTTATTGAACGTACATAGCGTTTTTCGTTGACATAGAATTGGTGAAAGGTTAAGATTAGGGAGGCCATTATTTTTCTTGGTTTTCAATGGTTTTTCGAGATCATCTAATAAAACCGTCAGGAATGTTGGAACAAATGGGTCAACAGTTAGCGAAACGACTCGCGCAACGAACGCCGAGCGTGATATACGCGTCGCCGACGTCTGTAAAACTCAATAAATTGTTTTTGGCTTATGACGTTATAAATGGTGCCGTGTTTACGAGAAGCGAATTTATGTCGCAGGTAATAGGATTAATGGTAAAATTAGACAGTTTATCGATGAGCCAGCAAGTGCAACGATGCGCGCGTTGTGACAACAAAACGCTCCTACACGATATACAGAATGACATATGCATATCTGTATTTGTACGTCATAACGTTAATTAAAATGATTGCGCGAGCATCTGGTAGGGTACTTAACTTCAAATATCGATTGAGGTCACGTCGTTACGCGAGGTGTTGATCGAACGCGCGCATGTGTCGGACAACGGGATGCCACTTTGATTCGAAATAGATATTTGGGCCATCCATGTCAGCTTCAAGCTGACCGAGATTTTACATTTCCTGCATTAATAGCTATTATCTGAAAAAGTGAGAGGCAATTTGTCATATTTAATATCCTCGCAATTCAATTAACAAATTTCCGAAGAAATTATATAAAAACAAGAGATTTGTCTGCGTGAGAAAAAGAAGATAAAATAACATAAAAAATTAATTATATATTTTTTTTTAAATTAATACAATTATATCTAAAACGTAAATATTGAGTATAAAAGAGAAAAAAATAAATCTAAATATATGAAGAAGATAATGCGATCTGTTGCGGTCTAGAAATTTCCGTAATATTGTTCCTGCGGCAGACCGATGATCATGGAAAAAGTGGTAATGGAAAGTTCTTCCTGATGCTGAATACAACTTTGTGCGCAGATATTGCGTTCACGTGGTGTATTGAAATAACGACTAATCCAATAAAAAATTGTCAGATACATTCGTTTATGTATGTGTGTGTGTGTGCGTGTGTAGTAAAAGCTGATAATTCTGGATATAAATATTATTAGAAGAAGATCAAAGAATCAATTTGTTATGTCATTTTATAGATAAAAAATTGCAATAAGCTGGCTCGACGAATAATGTTTTAACACCCGATTGTATCGATATTACGATAGACGGCGCGACGAAATATTCTAGCAGAATAAACGCAATGTGCAGTGATGCGAAGAAGTGTGAAACCGTGTGCCTGCCCACCGCACCGGTGTCAACGGAGATTGGAACGAAATTTAGGAACACTTGCGGTCGTGCGGATGAAAGTGGACTTGGCGGAAACAGCCGGCCATGCCATGGCGGAAGTAGATGGACCATCGATATTTAAGTGTCAACCGTTGTAACGTCGGCCATCAGTCTGATCGAAACCGGGTGCGATCGCGATGCTGCGAGGTACAATGCTATTTTTGTCATTCATAGCAATATGTTCGTTAACGTTGCACCCGATGTGTCACGCTCGAGAACTGGTCAGTGCGAAATCGCGTATCAGTCGGCGTGATGTGCGAGGAAAGAACGATGACCATGCAGGTCATTTAGAGCCGATCGTGGTCTCGTCGCCAATCGCAGAGGTGGATGACCTCGAAACAGCAGCAACTGAACATAAGGGTCATCATCACGAATCCAGTGGTGGTCACAAACATGAATCTCATCATCACGAGGACCACGGTGGAAAAGGTGAGAAGGGATACAAGAGTCACCATCATCACGATAAAGGCGACAGCGGTAAACACGATAAGGAACATCATTCCGGTCATCATGCTGAACATGGTGGCAAAAAAAAGGGTCATCACGACGAATATGAAAAATATGGCGAACATCACGAGGGCGAAAAAGGCCACAAGGGTGGCAAGTTTGGTGAGAAGAAGGGCCATAAGAAGGGTCATAAGACGAAGGGTTATCACAACAAGTTTCACAAAGACGAATATCACAAAGAGCACAAGTTTTACGATGATTATCATAAAGGCGGACATCACGAGAAGCACGGTGATTTTCATGGTCATCATGAGAAGAAGGAAGGTCATCATAAAAAGGGCGGTCATCATCATTCCGGTTATCACGAGGATCATCACGGTAAAAAGGGCCATCATGACAAAGGTCATCACGACGAGGAGCATAAGGGCCACCATGGCAAGCACGGCCATGAGGAGCACCATTCTCATGACGATGCTTATGGCAAGAAAGGCGATCATCAATCCGGAAAAAAATACGGTTATAAGAAAGGGCATTAAAATTATTGGCTCAAGTATTACAGATCAAAAAGTAATCGCTCATTTTACAGTTATGATTTATATCTACTTCAGACAATATCACGCGACTACATTTCGTGATCGTATATTTTATATTGTTCTTTATATAATATAATTATGCGCAAATATACTAACACGCGCAAAGAAATTGCTTGATTGTGTTACTCTCTTTCATTGGTTTTTCTTTCTCTTTCGGTCTTAATGTGGCAAATAAGTTTCTCCCCAGCTCATATTTGTCCCAGCAGCTACATTACAGTCAAGACGGCAGCGTGATATTACGCCTTATCGATTCCTCACGATTTATTGCCATCGTTTTTCTTGGCGGCCTTTTACCATTTCCCAACTTAAGTAATTTTGCCATTTCCTCTCGCCTTGTGCTTCCGTTTATTGATAAAGATAACGATTGCGTGAGAAGAAACGCATAATTGTATATAATTGAGGATTTTACTTATTAATAATTCATAAATCACATTATCGTTAACATCACGTGTTATTTTCATCAATCCTAAAAATTAGATTAAACAAATAAAATGCTTATTTTGTAAATAGCATGTGTTTCGTGTCAATACTACTTTTTTTTAGCAAGTAGCGACAGTTTCATTGGTTCAAGCAAGCGTAAATTAATTATGTGTACAATAAAAATATTTTTCAACATAGGATCTCTCTATTGTTGGACAAGAGTAATATACTAGCAATTCCATCTATAGCATGAATTTTAATGTCACATATAACACAGATCATTAATGCGCCAATAATTGAGGTTAATCGATTGACCAGCTGATTGAATTGATTACCGGATATTAATGTGCCGCGGGAACGCGCGTTGCAAGTTGACACCGTTAAATTTGTAGGTAAATACCGCATATACACGTTGCAATGTTATCTCTTGCAATAGTGTGCAACATAATATTACGTCATCAATTATAGAATATTAAATATATATATATATATATATATATATATATATATATATATATATATATATATAT